ATTGATGGGTTAAATATTAAATATGAGTTTAGTTGTTATTTGTATGGATTATACATGTAGTAAATGTAAGATTACCTGAGTGGTTAAGGAGGGAGAATTTTGATAAGTTTATACTTCTACCCACTCCCTTGAATATGTAAAACAAAAATTTTGACATTATGCTTCATGCTGTATTTTTGTTTTGTTTTTTTACATATTAAAAAAATAAATAAACTAAAATCAAACAAGTACATACACATAACTTTTAATTTCATCTTCAGTGTTCAGTTCTTTTTTATTGTTGTTTTTTTCCTCCAAATCTAAAATATATTAACTTTATTATTTACTTTTGTCAGTCATTTTGCAGATGCACCGTATTCAGAATAATCTAATCCGAAGCGTCTGGGGGGTCTTCACAAAACTCCTGACTGGTACTTCAAAGAAGACTGTGTCCGAAGTGTGGAGTTTTTATTTTATCTAAATCTCCTTAAATAGTTTTCTAATAATTTCAATTTGATTTAAAAAAATAAATAAATCAGGCAGAGACTGACTAGTTCATTGTGGAAAAATACCATAAAATAGTATTTTCAAGCAGTTTTAAAGCATTATTTTCTAACAGTGTGGTTGATTTTTCTTCTAAGGTATTGGTCATAAAGTTAAAGCACAATAATTTTAAAGCTAAATTGATTTCTTAAAATAATATTCGTCTTGATTTTACCAAGGAGGTTGAAATTAGTTGCTCTTAAAGTGTTTGTATTATGGAGATGTTGGTCAGTGTAAAACTTTACAAAATGAACGTCTTACTCCGAGCTTTGCTGAGGGCCTCATCGACGTCAGTCTCAACACGTGAAACCACTGGACAGATGAGAACCTGGTAGTCGCAGTCTTCAGGAGATTCTACTTCGGTTTGACGAGAACGTTGCAGTGTGTTAATAATTCCTTTATCAGCTCCATTTGTTTTTCCTGCCAAAATGACAAAGAACTTTTTCCCCGTCACTAAAAAAGAAAGGGAGACAAAGTCAAAAACACATTAGACTGGGTATTTTTGAAATACTATGTTTTTACACATTCCACATTTTTCACATTAGGTGTCCAAAATAAATAATTCACTTACACAAGAGTGGTGATGCACGCTGATACTTTAAAATTTTCCATTTTTTTAAAAGTCACATGATCAAAATGATGATTTAAGCCAAAAAAAATTAATGTGGCCCCCTTTTGTAACTGATTTAGACACCCCTGTTTCTAGAATAACATAATCTTCTTTTTTTTTTTTTTAATACAGTTGGCACAATAAAACGGACACTGTGGCCTCAAAGAAGAGAACGAGTTCTTCTGGTTTTTCTTCCAGCAGGAAGGTCATTATTCATCCTGGCACCGGCTGCTTGGTTGGGCTCTGTGCAGAACAGGTTTAGGTGAACAGGAGCGTGAATGCACAGTAAATACAGAACTGTCTGTCTTAACGGAGATCAAACTCCGAACGGAACGAGCGTCACTCTCAGCGGACTAGTTCCTCCGTGCATGGGTCTAAAATGCGTCTGCATAAAAACAAGTTGATCCAACAACACGTCCGTCCAGCTCAAATGTCAAACATTGTTTTCTTGCCTCTAAAGCCTTACCGTTAACAGTCAGGTTTCCTCGTGATAAGTATGAACATTTTTTGACTAACAATACATTAAAAAAGTAAAAGAATCTCTACGTTTCTACTAATCTGGACACTTTGAGCAACAGGCTACATGTTCTCATAATTGTTTCTATCACAAACATGAAATTATTGCTAAAATGTAACGTCCACCTGCATGTTTAGGAAGTTATTTTTAATAACTGCTTTTGGTGTTGGATAATAATGCTGATTTATTCTCCAAAATATGATTTAATTACAGTTTAACGCTTTAAATTTACAATTACTACCTCCGCCAAGGTCACGTTTTCAGTGGCGTTGGTTTGTCTGTGTTGACAGTTGAAGTCGCCACAAAGGACAACTCGTCAAGTTTTGGTAGTGATCTGGATCACCATGCAGGTCCAGGACTTGAAGAGGCTGCTGCAGCTCTCTGTGATGCTGACAGAGACTGTAAGAATAAACAGGACAAACAGGAAATAATATATATACTGAAGGCATCGTGTGTTGCTCTAGGTCTAAATCTGTCAACCCACAGAGGAAGCTGAATGAAGACCGAGAGCTGAAGTCAGTGCAGCTCGCCACAGACGGCTACATGTTACTGTGTGCGTGACCTTGGCGTGACCTTGGAGTGACTTTCGTCTTGGCAGAGGTGTGCACTCTCCAAGTGCTTCTAGTTTCAAATATTATCAGTTGTAGAAACATAGGTTTGATAAGAACAAGACTAAATTTGATCTAACTCGTTTTTATTACGCGTGTTTCTGGAGCCGCAGTAGCTCAGTGGTCAGTGCAGGTGTCTCATAATGTTGAGGCTGCAGGTTCAAGTATCAGAGAGGTCATCCAGCGTAAAATGCTTGCCAGATTTTTTTTTTTGTTTTGTTCGTGCAAGTTCACTCACTTTGTCGAGCTGAAGGAAAAACAACATTCAAATGTGTTTTTAGACACTTACTAATCCTCATTTTAGAAGTTTTTTTTACTCAACTCCACCTGGGGTTTTTTTTTTTTGAGCTCCTAAAGGCTCCGTTTTCATTCTGTCTGTGTTTTATTGCTGTCGGAGAGGCCGATCCTGCTGCCTGCTGTGGCTGAAAACGAAAAGCTCACTCAGAAAACAGCGAAACCCGAAAGACACTAAGACAGGAAGGAAACGGCAGAGTCAATTCACGAAGGCCTCGTTGCACGGTTTCGTTTCACCGACATGCTGTCGTCTATTCACAACACAAAAAAAAGTCTCGCATAAAAACACTATAAATAAATCTTCATCATTTAAAGAGAGTTGATATTTCTCACCAGTGACTTGCTCGGACATGTCTGAGGAGGGAAAAAGAAACGCAAGAAAATGTTTAATTCTAGTGGCAGCAAAAAGACCATGACACATAAATGTAAGCAGAACAAAGTGCATAAACTAGAACATTGTTACATGAACTCTGAAGAAAATCCACTGGCTTAAAGAAAAGCTGCAAATACCTGGAAGAGATTTCACTTGAGCGTTTCTTGAAGCATCCGAGGCCTGAGAGCATCACACAAGACTTGTCAAACCTCTTGAAGAAGAGTACGCACTGAAAACACTGATAATATCTTTGCTTCTGACATGTCCCTGCTACGCAGCAGAGGAGCTCCACCCTGTCAGTGACACAGTTTTACTTTCTCTTCAGCTGTGATCTGACAAGAACCAGAAAAAGTGCAGGCACGAGAGCAAAGTGTTGATCTCGAGACGAGGAACAGGAACAAGTTAAATGCACAACTAAAGAAGTAGAGGTTGCGTTTAAAAGATACTCTCGTGGGAATGATACGTGACGCTGTCATGGCTTTAAATGTTATTATCAGCAGGTGTGTTTTATTTATTTTACCTTTCTCACTTGAGAAATTGTTCAGTTTATCACAGATAAATGTGATAAATGATTGAAGCGTGCCAGATAAAGATGAGCGTATCTAAACATTAAGAATCCCACATTCTGTACATTTGTTGTGTGTTAAATACATGTTCACTAATGTGCATGCACGTGACTACATGTCCAACCACTTCTTTACTGGTTGACATCAGGGACTGGAGGGCTTTAAATTCACTTCCTAATTCATTTTAAAATCATTTGTATGTTTTTAAATCGCTCATTAGTTCTGCCCCCTCTTATCTCACTGATCTGCTGCAGCCATATGTCCCACAGCGCTCTCTGAGGTCAGCAGACCAGATGTTTTTATTGGTTCCAGGCTCATTTTAAGCTCAGAGGTGACAGAACCTTCTCTGATGCAGGTCAAAAGCGGTGGAATGAGTTACCACTGCATGTCAGGCAGGTTCCCTCGCTCACTGTTTTTAAGACTTGTTTGAAAACTCACTTTCATTCCCTGGCTTTTGACACTGTGTGAGTTGATTTTAACTTGTCTATAATGTTAGTCATTTAGATCGTATCTTTACCTCTGTGGAGCTATGTTTTTATTTATTTATTTTTTTGCTGTGTCTTTTGCTTGTTTTGTTTTTGCTCTACAACACGTTGGTTGGCCTTGTTGCTGTTTTTAAGTGTTTTATAACTAGGACTAAGCTCCTCCCTTTGCAGCTGGGTCCTGGACTTCTTAACAAACAGACCACAGTCTGTGAGGAACCACAACTTCTCCTGCATCAGCACTGGCTCCCCTCAGGGCTGTGTGTTGAGCCCCCTCCTGTTCACTCTGCTCACATATGACTGTTCCTACCCATCCGGGCTGTCACCTTGTAAAGTTTGCAGACGATACAGCGGTGGTGGGATGCATCACAAACAATGATGAGTCCAGCTACAGGCAGGAGGTGGAACACCTGGAGAGCTGGTGCAGGAAGAACAACCTTCACATCAATGTGAAGAAGACGAAGGAGATGGTTGTGCTGCTGATTATCTATGCTGCTAATCTCATGCTGCTGTTCATTCATACCAAAGACTCATGTTCGGGCTGTTGTTACACCACATTGTTTTACATTATTAGTGTTTAAGCGTATATCTTAGATCTTTTAGCGTATCGTTTGGCGTTTGCTTCAGTGCTATCTTAGTGTATATCTTTGATCTTTATTTAATGTTTCTTTTTATACTTTAAATATTTTGCTATTTGTTTGTGTGAAACTGGGACCCTGTGTACATAATTGCGCACATGTACCACATGATCTCAACGGGCTCTACCTGGTAAAATAAAGGTGATTGATTGATTGATTGATTGATGAGATTGTAATGACAATAAAGTTTAATTGAACTTGATAAATAAAGTGGTATGGTACATGTGTTCACGTTTTGGGATCATATGAGTAAAACATGTTGAAACCACGTGTTTTCATGTTCTTGGTATTCCTTTATAAACGCTGTTAACTCGTCAGAATGTGTTTCTTTGAATTCATGCGCTTCGGATCGCGGCGTGTCGGACAGTCCGTGAAGGCAGCAGCAGATGCGGGTTGTGCTGTGTCCGGCAGGAGGGCGTTCCGCTGAACCCCCTCCTTCAGGGCTCGGTTCTGCCGCCGTGTGGGAGCTGTGGTTCTGCCGGAGCCGAGCTTCGGTCCCGGGGTGTTCCAGGGCCCGGGCTCCGCTTCCTGGTGCGTTCAGAGCCGGCGGAGGAGGCCAGGCTGGCGGACACGGAGGCTGCCCGTCCCCGCTGAGGGGGGGAGCTGCAGGACGGAAGGCTCTCCGGTTTTTCTCTCTCCGGTAAGAAACAATGAGAAGCGGTCCGAACTGGAGCGGATCAGCTCTCCAGCAGCGAGCAGCCGTCATTTTGAGCTGGTTGTCTATGCAGGTGATTGTTGTTCATCTGCAGACACGGCTGGGTGTGCACGCTTTACTGCACATGCACTTTATGCGTTTTGCACATTTCTGCCTCTGTGATGTTTGGAGACGAACGTGCACATCCAAACAGCTCCAGCATGACGCACAATAACAAGTGTGAACACAACAGGAGCTCAATCCGATTCTCAGATCAGGCTTCATGCAAACTTCTTGTAATCCTTCCGTTTGGACACTTAAATACACAAAAATGATTTTTTTTTTCTAACTGAACGTGTTTTTAAACGACCCAGGAAGGAGAATCACATTAAAAATAATAAAACTAACAACTAGAGAAATTGCATTTCCTGCAAAAAAGCAGTGTGAAGCTTATTACTGAAGAACTTGCTGAAAAACAGCTGAAACTAGCTAAAAACATGCTGAAATGGAAGAACAAGTCTTAGCAGAAGAAAGCCGAAAGAACACAGATTTGCTGAATTAGGTTTCACTGAGCAGAAATGAACACCAAATTAGTAATTTGCTTTTAAAAAAAAAGCTGAAATTAGCAACAACAACAATAAAAGCTGTAAAGTAGCTGAAAACGCAGAAAGAAGCTTAAATTACCAGAAGTAAGCGGAGAGAGAACACTCGTGCCCAATTAGGCTAAAAGAAGCTGAAACAAGCACAATAAAGGTGGAAATTATCTGAAAAAAGCAGAAATGTGCAAAATAAACAGCTGTTAATAAAACAATACATAAACAGATAATAAATAATCAAATGTGTTTACTGCAGAGAATCACTGCAAAATGTTAAACCTTTTTTCAAAATAAGACAAATAAGATATGCAACACAAACAATATCTGATGTTCAGCATTTTTTTTTTTTTTTCATTATTAACTTTTTTAAACGTCTGAGAATATTTTACCAATGATAAAATGATACAAAAATAAAATAATGATACAAAAACTAAGGATTATAGTTTATTTAAAATTATGGAAGCCCACAAAATACAAAATACACATCATACAGTTTAAATGTCTTCATACTGTCACATTTTTATAAAACCTGATGCATTAAAGTGTCTTTATGACAGACAGCCAACAGAAGAGAATAATTTTATCACCGAGTGGCTCTTTTACAATTAGCCTTCCCACTTTGATGCATCTGCAACATCTGTCAAAAAAATGAAGAACACACAAACTTGTGAAGAAAGGTCAAAGGAAAAGTTTACAAGACAGTGGTGAGACCAGCTATGTTGTATGGTCTGGAGACAGAGACATGGACAAAAAGACAGGAGACAGAACTGGAAGTGGCAGAAATGAAGATGTTGAGGTTCTCCTTAGGAGTGACAAGGATGGAGAAGATCAGGAATGAGATCATCAGAGGTACAGCACAGGTTGAACAACTGGGAAATAAAGTTGGAGAGGACACACTGAGACTGTCTGGACATGTCCAGAGGAGGAACAGTGGTTTGGACATGTCCAGAGGAGGGACAGTGGTTTGGACATGTCCAGAGGAGGGACAGTGGGTATATTGGTAGAAGGATGTTAGAGATGCAGCTGCCAGGAAAACAACAGAGGAGATGTATGGATGGAGTTAGAGAGGACATGGAGGTAGTTGGAGTGAGGACAGAGGACACAAGAGGACAGAGTGAGATGGAGGAGGATGACGCACTGTGGAGACCTCTGAAGAAGGAGCAGCTGAAAGAAGAAGACCTAGAACAAACTTATAAATAAGCAAAAAATATGTATATAACTGCATTTATGAGTTACAAGACATAGGCCTGTCGCAATAGACAATAAATCAATTAATCGCATGATAAATGAAAATTATCGACCTCATTTTCATTTATCGGCTTTATCGTTTCTTTGTCTCTCTCGTTCTACTGAAGACACTGGATGACAAAAGGCTCATCTCCGGTGCTCTTCACTGACCTCTCCCTTTCTCTTTTTTCTTTAAAACCCATTTTAATCGTCCAAAATCTCGTTTTTGCATCGTTAAAAGCAGCTAAGCTGAGAAGCTAAGCTACGAGCTACGCTAACAGGCCGACCTCGGGGGAAAAAACTCTGTCTTGTTGAAGCTCCAAAATTCACAGATGAAACTCGTGTCTTTGTCTAAAAAGTTGTTTTTCTCTGCAAAAAGAAGCTGAGAACTTGTTTACTGAGTTTTTATTAAAAGCTTTGTGTGACAAATACTATGCTAAAAATCCTGTTGCATGCTCAATGCTATGCTATAGCTAGCTATGCTAAAGAGCTCAAATCACACTGAGCGTCCGCCATTTTGAGAACCAAAAAACAGGAAGGAGAGACAGCCCATGTCACGTCAAGGGGCCTCCCTCTCATTTTTCTTAAAGAGACATGTGCTCACTCCCTCACTATCCATCCTTCGGTTCAAACCCTTTTATACTGTCATCCAGTGGTCAAAAAAAGATACTAGACACAAAAATTAACCAACATTTCTTCTTAAATTTGACAATTACTAATTATTGTCAAATTTCAAACAATATTATCGTTTATCGCAATAATTTCTGAGACAATTAATCGCCCAGCAACATTTGTTATTGTGACAGGCCTAACAAGACATCAGGGTGTGAATGGGATAAAAGCTGTTTTTAAATCTGTTTGTCCCACATTTGAGACATGTCACTTACTGGGGAGTGGTGGTTCAGAGGTTAGAGAAGGTGGGCCTGTGATCGGAAGGTCGCTGGTTCATCTCCCCGGACCAACAACATCAAAATGTGGGTGGAAATGGTGAAGCACCCACACCTGCCTCCACCCTCATTTGCCCCACTCTGGGCCCTTGATCAAGGCCCTTAACCCCCACCATCTGCTCCCCCGGGCGCCCTAGATGCAGCTCTCTGCTCCACACAGAGGCTGTGGCAGCTCGTTGGTCTGTGGTTGTGTCAGGAAGGACATCCGGCGGAAAAACAATCATCAAGTCTTGGTTCGAGTTAGTTCGCTGTGGTGACCCCTGAAGAAGGAGCAGCTGAAAGAAGAAGACTCAGTCACATTAAGTTGTCCATTTCTAACATATTGTTCATTAAAAAACATTCAAAGACAGAATACAAAAAAAACCTGACGTGTTGAGTTAAAAATGTTATTTGCGTGACAATAGTTGGAGAAAGATTTCAGTTTATGAATATAAGAAAAACAGTAGAACTTTTTTCAAAGTCGTTTACATTTTAATTTTAATTTTAATCATTCTGTTTGCATCATCAGTGGTGATTTGATAAGGGGGGGTGGCTGGCACTCCTATGGACCCCACCCACCTTGGAGGGGACATGTCACCTTTGTACATGCCGAGGAAGAGGAAGTCTGTCCAGACACAACCCAAAGGTGCACATCCAGGTAAAAAAAGGTGATTTATTCCATTGTTGTTTCTTGGTTTGAGCTCTATTTTACTTTTTGGTTTGTATGTTTGTTTGTTTGTTTGTTTGTTTGTTTATCTTCAGCTGTTCAGAGATTTCCAGAAAAAGCAGACGAGCTGAGTCCAGCAGAGCACCCAGAGGTGGGGTAGTGTGTGTGCACGACGTGCTGAAAGAGCGTCCTGTTCTTGATTCTTTGCTGGGTGTATGGGTGTGACTGATGCATGCTGGTCCTCTGATGCAGACACAAAGCTGCATGTGTTCCTCACAGTTCTGTGTTCGGCTGTTTTAGAACGAGGAGTCTGAAGATCAAAACGCTGTGAAGATGAAACGGAACTTCAGCAGAAAACGGTACCTGACATCTCAGCTTGTTGTTTTGAAGTGCATTCAGATGGCAACCTGGACGGGCTGTTGGTGCAGGGGTTGTTACACTTAAAGTTAAATTCTAAATGACTTTTCCTTTTTAATCTTCCTTTTTCTGTCTGAATGTTTGTGAAGCATTCACAATATTGTGATTCGTTTTGCTTCCGTATGTTTTTCTGCATCTTTCTCGTTCCACAATTTTTGTGCTATTTCAACAAATCATAAATCAAAACGTTCGGCTCTTTCAGGACAATCCTGCTATGACTTTTGGTATTGGTGCAACTTTAGCTTTTTGAAATATTTAGCCTTTTCTGCCATTTTTCCTCATAGAAAATGAATTGAGCTCATTTTGTTTACAAACATTTACTGCTCCTTTCACATTTTGTTCTGTTTCAGTTTCTTTCAACTTCCTTGTGCAAATTTAAACTTTATTTTTCAGATAGTTTCAGCTAAATTCAGCTGTTTTGTGCTCCTTTCAGATTCTTTCTGCTAACTACAACATTTTGTCCTTCTTCTAACTTATTTCTGCTCATTTCAGCTTGTTATGCTCCTTTCAGTTTATTTCTGCTAGTTTCAGTTATTTCAGCAACTCTTTAGCTGTTTTATGTTCATTTAAGCTTTTTCAACTAATTCCACATGTTTTGCACTCATTTCAACTTTGTTCAGCCAAACTCAGCAAAAATGTGCTCTCTCCACTTCCTTCTGCTAATTTAAGCTCGTTCTACCTTTTCAGCTAGTTTTTTTTTTTTTAGCTTTTTTAGCAAATTTCAGCTGTTTTCAGATAAATTCAAGTTTTTGTAGTAATTTCTGCTACTTTCAGCCTAAATAACTTCTTTCTGCTCCTTTCAGCTTTTTTCTGCTAGTTTCATCTTTTTCTGCAATTTCAGCTACTGTTTAGCAGTTTGCATGCTAATTTAAGCTTTTTTGGCTAATTCCACATGTTTTTAGTTCATTTCAGCTCTTTCCACTTCCTTCTGGTAGCTTAAGCTTCTTTCTACCTTTTCAACTACTTTCAGCTACTTCTTGCTAATTTCTGCCTTTTTTTTTAGCTAATTTCATCATTTCTATTTATTTAAACTTAATGCATCAAATATGTGTTCTGCTTTCTTCTTCTAACTTTGGCTTTTTCTCCCATTTCAGCATGTTTTTTAGCTAATTTCAGCTATTTTTCAGCAAGTTCTTCTGCAATAAGAATTCACACTGCATTTTCAGAGGAAATGCCATTTTTCTAATTAGTACTTGTTTCTTCGAACTAGTTACTTTCATCTTCCATCTCTTCGTCTAATTCAAACAGTTTACATGATAAAAGTTTCTGTTATTTCAGTTAAGTCTCCACCTCTGACAGTAAATAAACAGTAAAAATCCTCTCTGCATTAAAAAGACACATTGAAGCACATGTCTGAATTTATTTTTGATTAAAAGGGCTTAAATGTAACTTACTCTGTTCCCTCATTAAATATGCAGAGATCTTTGAATATGCAAATTAACCTTGATTCTCCTGCAGACTCTGTAGAAACACCTCATGTGGCACAAGCAAGTTATCATTTTTTTTATTGAGATGTTCACACTTGAAAAGAGTTCTCAAAAATTAAGAAAACATGAAATTCATGGTGTCATTAACATGTCGTTTCAAACCGTGTTAACGGCATGTAGATCAGAAATCCAATCAATCAATCAATCCAGTATTAAAGCATTAATACTTTTCATACCAGGTACGAGGACCTCCAGAATGTTTCCATGGGAACCGTAGATTACCCCACCGCCAGCTGTTCTGTGATGTCATCAGGTGGGCTGGCCAATGGATTGGATCCTTGTTCCATGGCTCCGCCCACCCCGAGGCTTCCTCCACGACTGGTGACAAAGGGTAGTTGGTCTGAAAGCCCAGAGGCGAGCAGGGACCAGTCCCAGCCCGAGGACCGGAGCTGGAACTCCAGCAGGGACGGAGGCCCCGAAGCCTGGACTCCAGGCAGAAACCGATCCCCAGACCAGATCTGGAGCTCTGTTGGAGACAGAGCGGGACACTCCAGTCAGGAGCAGACATGGACGCCAGGCAGGGACAGAGCCCATCCTGGACCGGATCAGGCCTGGATGATGAGCCAGGAGCACGTTTCTGTTCAGGGCTGGGCAGCAGGTCCAGATCAGGTCCAGGGTCAGGCCTGGAATGGAGGAAGAGATTCAGGAAAAGATCGGACCACTTCAGGGCCAGAACAGGGGTGGGGAACCGGCCAAAGTCGAGAACAAACCTGGAACAACTCCGCCAGGGACCGAGAAAACATCTGGAGACCCGGTAGAACCTCTCAAACATCTTAAAGATTGTTTTAAACAATTACTTTCATTTAAATTAAGAATCCTTAATATTTAATTAAATTTGTTTCAAGTAAAAAAATAATAATCTTAAACAAAACTATAAAATGATACTGATTATATAATATGTACACTTTTCTAATTGCTTATATCAGAAACTGTGTGGCTGTGGTGAAAACAGTTTGAAGAGATCTTGTTTCTATTTCATTTTAAAGACTTGAACATGAAGAAGGTGCAAAGAGCTGAAGTGGAGCAGAACCCTGCTGCTCATAACTTCCCTCCTCCACCAGCAGAGGGCAGAGTGTCCTGTAAGTCAGTGGTTCTCATTACGTTATTGAGATGCTATGATACTTGGGAATATTTGTAAGCTAAGTGAAAACTAAGAAGAATGTTCTATCAGTTTATATGAGGGTTCTACGGTAAATAAGTGTATTTGTAAAATTTGAAAATGGCCGCAATTGATAAAGATTGGAAAATGGGAAGATGCTTGTACAAAGTAACATGGAATATTTAATTTATTGTAAATCTGTAAATTTAAAAAAAAAAAAAAAAAAAAAGTAGTTCCCAGCACTGGTCCTTGAGGAACACCATACTGCATGTGTTAGTTGTTGCCTGCTCCAACACGCCTGATTCAGTGATTTAATTACTTCATCAAGTTCTGCAGAAGCCCATTCACCCGTTCATTCAAATCAGCTGTGTCTAAGCATTAAAAGAACTAAAACATGCAGGATGGAGTTCCTCAAGGACCAGTGTTGGGAACCACTGCTAAGTTACACTTCTGTCCAACAAACAAAGGTTTCCTGTTACGTCTACTTCCATTCAGGAAGGATTGAACGTTTGAGACTTCTTCGTTTGTGATAATTGATTTTAAATAAACACAATGTAATGATCCATGCTTATATTTGATTTATGTCCAGGTTCAGGTGCAGCGGGTGTCTGTACGTCCTCGACGGCTCCGCTTGGTGAAGATCAGAAACCTGTGATTCTACCCATCAAGAAGGAACCTCCTGCGTACCCTCCAGGTGAGACCAGCAGTGGTACCTTTATAGACGATTTCACAGTTCTTGCAATACCGTTCTTCCCGACCATTTGAAATCCTTCCAGAGGATTCCAGATTTGATTGTTCTTTTCTAAACGAACCAGGAAGTCAAGAGGAGCACTGGCAGCTTCAGATTGTGGCCAAAGGGAGAGTGACGTGTCCGAAATGTAAAAGTGTGAGCAGGAAGACGGTGGAAGGGTTGAAGAAGCACATGGAGAACTGCAGACTGGTGAGCACTCAAATCCTATAAACTCTTCCATTTGCCCACGGTAATTTAGGATATATCAAACGCTTACAAACTGTTTCTGGTAACTGTGTGAGTATGATCCCTCAGTTTTTACTAATTCACGTGTACTTGGTTGAAACATCGGCACAGTATCGTAGTTATGTCCAGAATGTGCTGTTGATCTGCAGCAACCCTTCACCTGTCAGCACTGTGGGAAACAACTGAAGTCCTCCACAGGGATGAAGTATCACATCATGGCTGACCACAGCCACTTGGTGAGCATTCCACCTGCTTTATGGGCAATCATGTAACCGCCTCTGTGCGTGTGTGTGTGTGTGTGTGGGGGGGGTGTTCTTTGCAAAATATTTCATGAACCGCTGGATGAATTTTATTTTTATTGATTCTATTTTTTAGAACACACACAAATAAACATACAACAAAATCCCCTCCCATACGGATCAGCTACACAGACATGAATACATTAGGCAGGCGCTGACATACTTTCAAAGTAAGATACACAAATGGCTGCCAAGTGTCCCAAAATCTCTCAAAATGTCCTTTTCAATCTTTTCCAAATGAATATGACGCATATCTTCTCTGTGGCTGAGTGGTTAGAGCAGTCGTCTTCCACTGCAAGAGTTGGTGGTTCGATTCCGCCAGCAGCCACATGCTGAAATGTCCCCGGGCAAGACACTGAACGCCTCATTGCCTCCGATGTGTGTCCCATCGGTGAATGAATGTGATAAAGCTCTTATTAGTCTTTGTACAGATCTAGTAAAGTGCTGCATGAATGAATGAGGACACAGATTGTGTTGTAAAAAGCTTTGAGTGCCTCGATAAGATAGGAAGGTGTTATATAAGCACAGTCCATTTACCATTATACCAGGAGACATGGATCCTTCCACTGAATGAGTTTTAATTAAACTTTCATTTGGTGTACATCTATAGTATAACTGCTGAACTTTTGAAGACAACTCGATTCAAGATGGCCACCTCACCTAATCTGCTGTAAAAATCAACTAAAATTAGCTATAACTCAGTCAGTTTTACAGATATTGATTTACTTTGTACAATTAGGTGCGGTAGTAGCTAAAAGTCATTGACAACTTAATCAATTCAGTTTCAATCGGTTTATTTCTACTGTATAGCTCCAAGTCCCAACAGACGTCCTCTCAGGACACTGAACAAAAACATTTACATACATTAAAAAAGCCAACTAGTAAAAGTTCTCTGTCTAAGGAAGCAGCAGGTTGTGTTGAATCTTCACTTCATCACAGTCTCCCATCCTGAGCAAGCACAATGGAAACAGTGGAAAGGAAAAACTCCCTTTTAACAGGAAGAAACCTCCATCAGGACGAGCGGTCATCTGCTTCGACCGGCTGCGTTTGAGAGGACAGGAAGTGGAAACGGACACAGAATGACAGGTCCAGGTGAACTTTCTATAGGAGGAAACACAAAAAACATGTTGATAGAAATGATTACTAATACAAACTGGTAGAGTAGAGCAAGTAAAGACAGCAGCAGAGAGAGGACATGTGGTCAGTTTGTCCTCCAGCAGTCTAAGCCTATAGCAGCAGAACTACGGGATAGCCCAAGCCGACCCTAACTATAGGATTTATCAAAAAGTAAAGTCTTAATCCTAATCTTAAAACTGGACAATGTGTCAGCCTCAGGGACAGAAACTGGAAGTTGGTTCCACAAGAGAGGAGCCCGAGAACTGAACGATCTTCCTCCCATTCTGCTTTTGTAAACTCTAGGAACCACTAGTAAACAAATAAATGTACCCTATACTCTGAGCAACAACAGATTGCGCAACTTTTTTTTTTTTTTCCAAAACTTTGTCAAGGCTGTGGAAATATGATCTACTGTTTTTATCTTTGCATTTTATATGTATTTATTTATTCATAGCCATCAACAGACGACGCCAAGGACCTCAGCGATCGCACCATCAAAGACAAACTACGTAAAATCCTGAAGAGACTCGGCAAATTGAAATGCTCGAAAGAGGTGAATCATTGATTCACGCTTTGTATTCGTAGGAAACAGTTTTACTGTTTGTGTTTCCCCCAGGATGGTTTGTTGATAAATGTTTCCCTTTTGTTCCTCTCAGGGCTGCAGCGCTGCCTTCACCAGCATCATGGGCTACGTGTATCACATGAAGAAGTGCGGGAAAGAGCAGTCGGAGTTGGAGAAGATGCTTCTGAATTGCTCTCACTGTGGGAAAACGTACAAATCCAAGGCTGGACTGGAGTACCACCTGAAATCAGAGCACGCTCCTGTAAGTCATGTGTCTCATTCACATACATGTCCTGTTCATTCTAGTCATAAATATTATTTCCATTCAGTTGTTTACAAGATGCACAGTTATCAGCTATGGTGCCCCATCTTTATGTCAAGTATCTAGGAAGCTTTATGTCTCGTCTCAGTCAGGGATATATGTTTTTTATCTTCTGCCGCCTGTCAGACACCCCAGAAGGCTGAGGAGGATGAGGACCTGAAGGCTCAGAGGGAGGCCAACCCAGAGAGGACGGCCAGCGGGAGAGTGCAGCGAGCCTCGGCCCAGGTGGCCAACTTCCACCTGGCTGAGATCGCCAACAACGATCTGCCCAAAGACTGGCCCAAGAGGAAGTTCCAGTCAGACCTGGTTCCTGATGACAAAAAGGCAGGAAAACGCACTCTTTTCTTACAAACTTACACAGATTTTGCTGTTCACAAATTTGAACCTAAAGTGATTTTTAATGTAAACACACACACAAAGGTGCTCCTATTTTCTCACAAAGAATAAACCAGAAGTAATCAGATTTTGATTGAACCCCCCCACCACCTTTGATGTTGCCCTCTATACAGCTGAAATACACCCGCCCAGGTCTGCCCGCCTTCAGCCAAGAGGTGCTGAGGAAATGGAAGAATGAGGTGAAGCTGCAGAGGAAAGTCCAGTGTCCAAACCAGGTACAAACACGCTGGACAAAAGTTCAAGTTTAAATCTACTGAAATACTTTAAATTTACCTCCAGGCTGGAAACTAAACTACCAGCTTCTGCTTCTAGGTGCAGTCTGGCATCAGCTCCTTGTTTTTGACTTATTTGACACTAATCTCTTGGAAGATATGTATTTATGATTCATAAGCTATTAGATGTAAATTACAGCTGTTACATCACAGAGGACTCCCAACATGTAACTTGGAACATGTGAAAATTGTTTTATTAACTTGAAAACCATCCTGTAAGGATTCATATCATTTTATTTGTGACTTACTAATTCAATAAGATGAATTATTTAGTGGAGGGGAAGCTAATATTTAGCTTATTTTGAAATGTAAATAGATAAATGCTCACGCACATTTTAAGTTGAAAGATGAACATTTAGAAATGTGAGGCGTGTCTCTCCTCGTGGCTGTGCTTAAATCAACCTAGAAGGAACAAAGTGTTTTATTTCTTGTAGGCTTTACTAAAATACCATAATTTCCAGACTACTGAGTGCACCCGAATATAAGCCACGCCCACCAAATTTAAATAATAATAATAATTTTGCATATATTGTATTTCAAAGTGTGTGAAAAAAGTGGCAGCTTATAGTTTGTAAATTACGGTAATTAGTTTATTAAAATGCTTGATCGTTTCGAATGATTTTATACTTGTTGTTTTCATCAGCATCATTAATATAAAAGAGTTGTATTTAATTAAAGTGAATTTAAACTGCAGAGGCCATAAAATAACTCCTGTTTGCTCTTCCTGCAGGGCTGTGGCTGCACCTACACCAGTGTGTCAGGGCTGAAAGCTCACCTGGGACTCTGCACAAAGGTGCACCAGATTTTCCAACTCTGTAAAGTTACATCAGGGGCTGCAAATCAGGAACACCTGGAAAAAGATTTTCACGTTTTCTAGACAGAAAGCTCTGGAGATTTGAGAAAAACATTAAAAAAAATCAGGGAATTTGAACACTGATCTGATTAAATGATCTTTCTGAGCTTGGGGTGTATTAATGCTAGTATTCTGGTGTCATTGAGTCCATGTTGGTGTTCTACAGTGACCAAAGTGCATGCATCCTTCTGATTTTTAGATTTTAAATGTATTTTTCATTTGTTATACGATATGATTAACTGTTACGAAGGACTGCCGTAGATTACATTATATACTTACTGTCATCTGAACGGGACACTGCCCGCCATCCAAGACATTAAGTTCTGAGTGTTTTGTGTGACTGAAATATCTCCTGGAATTTCAGGATTTACTCAGAGAAAACTCGGGGAATTTTGTTTTTACGATGGGAACCCTGTAAATAAAAACAGAATAATGTAAGTACAGGGATAAAATACTGTTAAGCGGGTAAATCGCTACAAACTCAGCAAATTTTTCATGCATAATGCAGATTTGCACTAAACTCCATGTTGTATTTAACATTAAATTACAAATGGATTAGTATAAGAATAGAATTAGTCCCATCCATCCGTTATCTTTACCCACTTTATCCTGTCTGGGTCACGGGTGGTCGCTGGTACCCACTCAGCATTCACTGTGTGAGAGGCGGGGGGCACCCAGGACAGATAGCTAGTCTGTCATAGTGACAAACAACCATTCACACTCTCATAGGGACAATTTAGAGTTATCTGTTAGCCTAAACTCCACCCAGAAATACCCCCAACTAGGATTCGATCCAGCATCCTTCTCGACAACAGTGCCGCCCTGACTTGGTTATGAAATTAATTTTTCAGTCTAGTCAACATAAAATTATCCCCAGGTTCAGTTTTTATTCCATAGTTTGTTTCTGTTTTTCTCCAGGGCGAGTTTGAGGCTGGAAAATACCGATGTCTGATCTGCAACAAGGAGTTCAACTCTGAAAGTGGAGTAAAATACCACATCAACTCAGTCCACTCACAGGTAAAAGAAAAGGATCACCCGCGTTGTTTCCTGATCAACTATTACTATATTCAGACTGTTGCGTGTACTTACTGTAGTATTTACTGACTTTACCTGAAGTCCATGAAAGCCAGAACCATTACAAAGTTTCTGTTTGTGTTTTTAAAGGACTGGTTTGTCACAAACAAGAAAGCCTCCAAGAAGTTTGAAAAGTTCCTCAAAAACCAGCCGAGGAAGACTCTCCCCAACGCAGACAAGCAGATGGTTGATCACCACCACCACCATCATGTGCACCGCCCACAGCAGCAGCACTATCACCCCCACCACCAGCAGCAGCTCCTGCCCCCGCCCTTGCAGCACCCTCTGCAGCCCTTACACCACCTCCAGCACCAAGCCCAGTTCCTCCACCCGGAGCGACAGAACCTTCAACCACAACTTGACTCCCAGCTTCAGCAGCCCGTGCTCCACTACACCTCGCTGGAACCTCCTCCCGGGCCGATCTGGATGGACTTGGACTGCAAGGAGGCAGTACCTGGACCAGAACAGACCCAAATCCACCTGCAGATGGTTGACGTGGACAAGCCTGAAGGAAACGGTGATGGAATGGTGGAAGTTAAAAGGAGATATAAAGAAGAAGAAGGGTGGGAGGGTGGTGTGGCGGACGTGAAGCGGGGGGACTGCTTTGCGTTCAGCGGCAGTGGGAGCAGCAGCTCGTCGTGCGAATCTGAGGTGGAGCAGAGACATGTGGACCAGTGGAGCCTGAAGCGGCCCGGCGTCGTGGAGCCGCACTCCGAGGGGGGGAAACGACAGAGAAATGCTTAAACAAAAAACTGCATCAGCTCTGAAAACATCTGGTTTCCTAACCCTTGAACGGCTTTCTGATAACTTTAGGAACAAAGATGCAACAGACAGGCCTGTCGCAATAACTTAAATCAATTAATCGCATGATAAATGAAAATGATCAACCTCAGTTTCATTTATCGGCTTTATCGTTTCTTCGTGTGTCTCTCTTTCTACTAAAGACACTGGATGACAAAAGGCTCAACTCCGGTGCTCTTCACTGACCTTCTCTTTAAAATTTGTTTGAACCGTCCAAAATCACGTTTTTGTTTTAAAAGCAGCTAAGCTACGAGCTAAGCTAACAGGACGACCTCGGGGAAAAAAACCCTCCGTCTTGACGAAGTTCCAAAATTCACGGTTGAAACCCGTGCCTTCGTCTAAAATGTTGTTTTTCTCTGCAAAAAGAAGCTGAGAACTTGTTTACTGATTTTTATTAAAAGCTTTGTGTGGCAAATGCTAAAGAGCTCGAACCACACCGAGCGTCCGCCATTTTGAGAACCGAAGAGAGACAGCCCATGTCACATCAAGGGGCCTCCCTCCCATTTTTCTTAAAGAGACACGCTGCTCGCTCCCTCACTATCCATCCTTTCAAAGTCTTATACTGCCATCCAGTGGTCAAAAAAGGTACTGCACACAAAAATCATATCGTCTTAAATTTGACAGTAATTGCTAATTATTGTCAAATTTCAAACAATATTATCGTTTATCGCAATAATTTTTGAGACAATTAATCGCCCAGCAAAAATTGTTCTCGTGACAGGTCTAGCAACAGGCGGCTGTTCCTGCTCATCATAAAAGCTTCCTTTAATCCCACAACACAGAGAGGAGACACGGCTGGGTTTTTAGAGCTCAGCGAACCTTTGGTCCATCATAAATACTTAAAGCTGTGGATTCAAACCTCTGCCGTTGAAACAGTTTATAACTATGAGAAAAGTTGCCCAACTGCGTTTTATCTGTGACAGACTGTTTTCACCAACTTTAAGTGTCTTTTAAAACTTTTGATAAACTCTTCCTGTCTTTCATGAAACCTTTAAAGAGAAACCCGAGGAGACGATGTCGCAGTGTTTTGTTTGCCTTTGTGGTCCAGTTTTCCCCTCTCTGAAAACACAAGCACGACCTGTTTCCCTTCATACAACTGGTAAACGCCACTGGGTGTTCTTCACTGTATCACGAAGAGATATTGACAGATTTAATACAAAATAAATCACCTGTAAACACTGTAAATGGTAAAGTAGCACACGGGTATAAAGGTGAATTTCCTCAGTATTTCTGTGCAGCTGTTGCACAGAAACATTCAGACTGTCCTCCATTGTTCCACGTCTGTTTGTGTTTTAAATTCAACGTGTTTAAATATGAGCTTTAACGTCTGGTGAATTAGAAATTACTTAAAAGAGTAGAAATGTGATCAAACATAAATTGGCCCTGACATTAATGGGACGAGTCTGAGTTGGCCATTTTTATGTTGGGTAGGGTTGATAGCTGTGGCAGCCATGTTGATTAAAAAAACAAAAGTCGATGAGTTGCAGACTTACTCTGGCGATTTTAGCTCTTTTTTGTGGGTAGTGGTCCTCCAGCACCCCTAATTTTAACTCCGCACCCCTGAAAATTTAAGAAACCATCATTAGGTTTTTTGTAAGGAAGCTTGGGTCTTAAACCGTAGAACCACCAAAATATTGAATAAATTTGTAATAAAAATGGAATACATGACACTTAAACAGGCCGGTAAAATCTAAAATTCTTTTGCACGAGTCGGATCCTCAACACCACCTGTCAATCAGCCCAGCAGGCTTGTCAGAAACTGACCAATCAGCAACCTCAATTTGTACTGAAGAGAAACGCCCCTTACCTACAGGAGCTCCGCCCCTTTTCCTCCCGACAACATTGTTGGCGTTTTACAAACACTTTGCGATCAGAGGGATTTTGTGGAAAATCATCAGAAAAAATGATTAAACGTTGTCAGTGGGGAACATGTAATTCAGACAGTGTTACCTGGAGTGTTTAGAGGGTGGAACACAGTTTATTCCATTTCCAAAACCAAAATGGAGTCTGGAAAAATATAAAAGTTAGCTTTTGCTACACTACGTTTCTTAGACTGTGGCTAGGAAGGACAAAGATAGTTTGGGGTGTTAGGATGTGTGAGAGGAGCAGAGCGTGTTCTGTTCACACAGGGAGAGCTGTTGGTCAGGCTACTTCTTGTTGCTCTCTAAAACAGTTATTGAGTCAAGTGTTTACTTATGTAGGTAAATGTAGACATTTAACAACTCGTTAAAATATACCAGAATGCAGGAAAAGGCATCTACTTTATTCAAAATTTTCAGGGGGAGGACCCCCAGACACCCCCACCAGTATGTCTCCCCCCATATTACAAATGCTTCTGACACCAATGGCTACTGCACTGTCCAAGCCAAGAGCCATTGTCAGCAGTGTGTGTGTGTGTGGGGGGGGGGGGGCTGAGCGCCGCTAAAAGTCATATTCTAGAATCGCCCCTGCACTGTCATGAGATATTTTGCTAACTGACTGGAAAAGACTTTCACAGTTAATGACAAACCTCACACAGTCAGCTCAGAGTATAAGTTGGGAACGAAGCTCAGCTACTACCACACCAAATTTCACTTGGACATCTTAACGTTGACTGAAGTATAGACTTTTTGTGTTGCCTATAGGTCAGTTGGCTGCGGTGGCCATCTTGAACAGCTTGACTGTAAAGCTGCATCCAATGATTTATGTTCAGAGAGTTGCATTTAAAGTCATCGGATATTTGGCTAACACAGACAAACACACTGAACTAAAACATTCCCTTACGTGACAGACGACAGTAGTCAACTAATTCACAAGTTACAATGATGGTAAAGCAAAAAAAAAAAAATGCATTTTAAATTTTATTCTAATTTTGTGGGAGTTCTTTTGAAATATGAAGAGAAAGACGACGTTCCGAGGATCTTCGGTTTAAAATTGTGTTTTTTGAAAACTTCCTTGACAATATTCATCTTCTCTTAATGGTCTCGCATATATATACTGGTACATATTTTACCCTTTATAATAAATCTATAATGATATATACGAGGTGCAAAATGAATATTAGGAAACAGTCCAGAAATATAAGTAGACATTTGCAAGAATGCTTTAAAACATTTAGGACCGTATTGATGAAACACCCCCCCAGACCTTCAGTCTGCATTAATCCTCCCTGACTCTTTTCAAAGTGAATCTAAAGCAGAGATTATGACGGACTTTGTGCTCAGACGATATCTTCTGTCTTCCAGTGTATTCATGTGACTGGCAGCTGTCACCCTCGAGCTTCAGTTTGTGGGAAACGATTCTTCCAGTTATTTCTTTGTCACGAAACAGTTTTTATTTTTCCAACTGTCCAAATGTATTCACTCATTTAGGATGTTTCCTGTTCGGTCCGCGTGTTTCACATCAGACTAAAGAAAGAGTCGACAAGAATTTCACTTTTGGTTAAAACTTTATGAAGTTCAAGCTTCAGCTTTGACTCCGTCTGTTTGGTGACTTTTAGCAACAAATCTTCTGGTTTCAAGACAAAACACTCTTTTGTGAGGATTTTAAAATACTTTTTTTTTTTTATTATTCACTGTCAGACATGATTGTGTCACATTTCTGTTAAGCTTGTTTGCAAGAATAATATTTATTTTATTTTACCTGTTTGATTCAACAGTTCCCTGTTTTCAACAGATTGCCACGCTGCCTTAGTTCAAACCACTAATAATGTTTAAAGTTAATGTTTAAAATGCATCACTGTGTATAAGGTCGGACTAATTAACGTGTATATCTTTGTTTGAAATGTGATAAATCTCAGATGTGAGCTGTTTGTAAACTTTATGACTTGTGATCTCACATATTGAAGTAAATATCCACGCTTCATCGTGACTTTAAGAAATCTGTCACTTTTTATGTTTATTAGATAAACGTGTGCCACACGCCAGTTCAACACGTCTCCCATTTAACTTGGATATTTTATCATATAGAATGTTTGTTTCCTTTAATGCTGTCATTTAAGTTTAAATATTTTATATATTGGCATGCCATATTTTCATTTGGGGACATTTTTAAAGCAGACGGTTCAATTACTGCATAAGGAAGAAAGAAGTTCTGGTTTTAGTCATCCGTTTGTGTCAAAACGTGCACATCATAAATGTTTCTAAAATAAAATTCATGGTAAAGATTTTGTGTTGAGAGTGTTTAGTGCTGTGCGTGGGTCTGGGCTTCACATCTTTGGTTCAGTGGGACATCTACATGCATGTTTCTTTTTCTCCAACACGCACAATAGGGTGATGGGTGATCGGTCTGACTGTGTGTGTATGACCCTGAGATGGTCCTGCACTCTGCCTCTCACCTGCTGACTGCTGGTGTGTGTGTGTGTGGGGGGGGGGGGTCAGGTGCACTCTGAGCTGGGACTGTTGGAGGCTTGTTGGCCACTCAGGATGGGGAGAAAAAAGGCAAAGATTTTCCTGCAGTCTTATTGAACTCACCAAACAACCAGTGAGCTGTTTGACACCAGTTTGTGCAAATTAGTAAAAAAAATCCTACCAGATTTTTGATTACATGGTTTGAAACTGGGCGGCAAGGAAGGAAGGAAGGAAGGAAGGAAGGAAGGAAGGCAGGAAGGAAGGAAGGAAGGAAGGAAGGAAGACAAGAAGACAGGAAGGAAGGAAGGAAGACAAGAAGACAGGAAGGAAGGAAGGAAGGAAGACAAGAAGACAGGAAGGAAGACAAGAAGGAAGGAGGGATAGATGTATAGGAAGGAAGGAAGGAGGGAGGGATGGGGTTATAGGAAGGAAGGAAGACAGGAAGGAGGGATGGAGGTATAGGAAGGAAGGAAGGAAGACAAGAAGACAGGAAGGAAGACAAGAAGGAAGGAGGGAGAGATGTATAGGAAGGAAGGAAGGAGGGAGGGATGGGGTTATAGGAAGGAAGGAAGACAAGAAGGAGGGATGGATATATAGGAAGGAAGAAAGACAGGAAGGAGGGATGAGGTATAGAAAGGAAAGAAGGAAGGAAGGTGGGATGGAGATATAGGAAGGAAGGAAGGAAGGAAGGAAGACAGGAAGGAGGGATGGAGGTAT